TACAAAGGCAATCCGTTAATACAATCAACTTCAATCATGCTGTTTACTGTGACTTGCACATTTAACAATAGATTGTGCTTAACAAAAAGCTTGGTGGGCTCTTTGTTCTGAAAAAAAAAAGATATCTACCTCTTTGAGTAGTATATGCTTCCTAGATGGATACATAGGTTCTAGAATGGCAAATAATAAAGGTAGGATAATGTAGCAAGCCAAATTGATTAATATCCTAACAGCTTTTTATTATTTTAATTAATAACCAGAGTCCATAGATAGGGATGGCCATTTGTTTATGCTTCTCTCTGAAGAGACTTCTGGGTGGCTTCTGAGAGCTGGTTGTTGGTCTTATCTTGTAAAGTAGTTATTATAGAAACGACAATGCCATTATTTGGCTCTTCTGAAATAGCCTTGCAAAGCCGGCCTCAACAGTCCCACAGCACTGTAAACAGCAACAGATCAGAAAGAAATCATTAATACTCTGTTGCAGCTGTTACCCCCCCAGGATAACAAATGAACCCTTATCTTAGAAGGAATAGATGCAGAATTGATGCTTATTCAAAGAATCACTAGGACCTGTTTTTGCATGGGCTGCTTTATTGACAGATTTAGGCACCAAGCGCTTAAGAAAATTCTCTGAAAAATAACCCAGCCCTGCTACAGTCATTGCTTGAATGCAGGTTGTGGACAAACACAGTGGTATTTACAACATCACCACTTAGTTTTTCAAAGGAAATCTTTCAGTGTATTGTGAAAAGAGTTGGTGGGCTGCAGAGAATATTGGTGATACTTTTCAAAAGTATAGCTAAATATTTATCTTGACTGTTTGCCAAGATACTTGGATTATTCTATGGTAAGAGACAGCTTGCATATTTAAAAGAGCATAGTGTGTGTGTGTGTGTGTGTTCATGTTTGTTTGGCCTTGACAACCCTTATATTTAACCATGAGATAATCATGCCCACAACCTCACTAGTGTTCTGTCTTGTTCCCCCAGTGTTGCCATAATCTCCTCCTGAGGGAGACAACTTAAAAGCATCATTAACTGCATTGGCATGAAAGTAAAGCTTTCCTCCTTACAGTATTCCAACATCAAAGGCAATTTATAAAATATATTATGCTTTGCAGTTAATTTCCTTGAAGGACCATGTTCTATATTAACATTCTCCAAATCCTGAGTTCTGATTGGTCCACGCGGACCGCAACCGGATTGGTTAACTAAACGACTGTGATTGGCGCACTAAGAATCTACCGTGATTGGCCGAGCCGATCGCGGGAAATTCGAAGCGCTGCCATTGGCCGCCGAGCTGCCGGCCGGCTGAATAAAGCCAAGCGGCTCGCAGGTCCTGGACAGAACTGTATATTCTTCAATAAAGAGCTGAATGTGCACTTTGAGTCTCGCGTCTCTATACAACCCTATCTACCCGGGACCGATCTACCCGGGACCGATCTACCCGGGACCGATCTCCCAGACTTAACAGACCAATTCTGGGTGTCTTCAGAAGTATGTTTTGAGAGAATTGGGAGGGAAGAGAAGGGTGCTTTTTTTTGTTCGTTTCTTAGCCAGATGTGACATTTCTCTCCCAGCCCCATCTATCTGTAGAGGCCCAGATAAAGATGTTACGAGAAGAAAATCTTCTAAATTCCCCTGAGATAAAGGAGAACCAGACAATCATGCTAAATGCCAGAATAGGTGCCAGTTACTCCAATGTACTGAGTCGTAGCCTCCAGGAAATGAAGCAAGGTAAACAAAGCGAGATAAACAATGTTTTGATACAAGGGATGGTGCTTTGTCACAAGAAATTTAGCATACATTATATCTCAAAGTCTCTGCACCAATATTCATTTCTAAATGATTCAAACTGAAAAAAAAACACAAATCATTCAAAGTGGCTTCGTCGAAACCATGGCAACCTTTGTTGTTTGCAGATAAAAACCCACTCTTTAGTTTGGCAAATTGTATCTGGGTAATAATAACTCATTTCATTCAGCAAGCTAGTCGCCAATGGCTGTTTGGGAAGCTTCCTTTAAAACTCTCTATGGGTCTTAGGAAAAAGAACCTATGAGTTTACAACAAAATAACAAGACCTTCCCTGATCGGCTACTAGTCTCAGGGTTTGAAGTGAGGAAGCTTATTAACATTCTAATATTAGGCGAGGCTTCTGGCTGTGGTATTGAAATATAATGGTGATTAGTGGGTTCCTGACTTGGCCTTACTTTTTCATATATAGACCAATCTGAAAATATGTACCCTAGTATTGGGGAGTGAAATTAATTGTGCCAATTTTCAGAAAAGGGGAAAGGGGTGAGCCTGTCAGCTATTGACCTATTAGTCTCCTTACCATTTTCAGTAGCATTTAGCATTTAGAATGGAAATTACAAGAATGGCTAATGAACGAAAACTGTTCTGGGCCAGGAACAGGTGGGCTTCATATGTGTCCATTCCATATTAAATTACATTCTATTCAGAGGTGGTATTCAGCAGGTTCTGACCTGTTCTGGAGAACCGGCAGCAGAAATTTTGAGTAATTTGGAGAACCGGCAAATATCACCTCTGACTGGAGATTTTACAGTATCCTTTCCCTGCCACGCCCACCAAGCCACGCCCACAGAACCGGTAGTAGAAAAATTTGAATCCCACCATTGATTTTACTTTTATGTCATTTGAAAAATACATTGAAGATGTATTTTCCATTATGTGGTCTTTATGTCAACCCTGAAGTTGGCCGAACTGTGGCCATTTTCTTTTGTAGTTTTTCTCTACAGCGGGTGTCAGCAACCTGTGGCTCTGGAGCCGCATGCGGATCTTTGGGCCCTCTGCTGTGGCTCCCTGTTGGGAGCTGGCCCCACTAGCTGGCCCCTCCCCCCCGGTCACTCCTCACCTGGCCTGAGAAGGTAAAACACACACACACACAAAACAGAAATGAGAGGGAGGGAGGGAGAGAGACCCATTTCCCACAGAAAAGAAAACACCGGGAGCCACAAAACCTGGGTAGGCGTGGCAGGGGCGTGTGTCATGTGACTGCGTGGGTGTGACATTGAGTTGGCCATGCCCACCCAGGTTTTGTGGCTCCCGGTGTTTTCTTTTCTGTGGGAAATGGGTCCAAATGGCTCTTTGAGTGTTTAAGGTTGCAGACCCCTGCTCTGGAGAATTTCTTCTCCTCATAGCTTTAGGGCTGACACAGCCTGGAGCGATGGGGCCAGGGAGGGGGGTGTACAGATAGCCGGGGTGTTGTAGCCAAGATTAAATTATTTTCCCTGGGAATCAAGGATGTTGGTGCAGGTGTTTGAAAGGTGGAGAGTGAGGTCACCTAGCAACTGGACTACATGCTGATTGGACCATGTGATGGGTGACTCTGGGGGGGAAGTTTTACTTTTAATTGGGTGTAAAACCAGCAGGAATCTAGAGCCGGTTTTTCTCCAAGAAAATGCCAATTTGATATGTTCCAATAAAGTGTTCTTTGAGGAATATGCCTGCCTCAGGGTTCTTATTGAATGGGAATTACTTGGAACCTTGACACTTTGAATCAGCATTTGGTTTAATTTTGAGGCCCCTAGTATGGGAAAAACAAGGATTCTCATATTGATCAGCAGTTGCTATTATTGTTTATTCCAAAATCGTATGACAATTCTAGAATTAGATTAAGATGTCACTCCAAAATTCACTTCCTAATGTAGTTGTTGTATACAATATATCCCATTTAAATTTTCATCCCCCTATGAATGTCTCTTTTCTGGTATATGTTGATGATGATGCCGCTATTATTTTAAGGACTCCAACTGGCTCAAAACGTTTGGTGTCGTAGTATAGGTATATTCGGTTTGGAATATTTTTTAATGAGACTAATGTGATGCTATATTGCTAAAAATGTAGGAAAGCTACAATAGGTAATAGAAGGGCAGGACACTGAACAAGTGAGAAGCTTCAAATACAGTATCTTGACATAATGCTCCAAGATTCAGGATCATGGAATTCAGGGATTGACTCAATGGTTACACTGGGAGGAATGTTTTCTGGCTGTTGCTTGTAAATTTTTCATGTGTGCGCGCACACACAGCTTGGCCAATAAAGAATTCTATTCTATTCTATTCTATTCTATTCTATTCTATTCTATTCTATTCCCATTATGTACTGGGCCGATATGTACCATATAGAGCAGGGGTGTAAAAGTCAAGGCCCAGGGACCGTATCTGGGCCACGGGTTGTTTAGATCTGGCCTGCAGGTCTGCCCTGGAAACAGTGAGGGACTGGCCCGCAGAGCCTCTGCCACTGAAAATGGAGCTCAGGAGGGCCATGCGCAGTCCTCCCAGACTCTGTTTTCGGCCACAACGGCTTCTTGCAGCCCTCTGCCAGTGAAAATGGAGCTCAGGGGAGCACCCCCCCCCTTCAAGCTCTGTTTTCACTGGCAGAGGGCTGCAGGAGGCTGTCGCAGCCGAAAATGGAGCTCGGGAGCCCGTTTTTGCTGGTAGAGCACACAGGCCACTACAGGTCCATCCCCCATGACAAGAGTGATGTCAAGCTGGTCACATCCACTCTGGCCCCCTGAGGTCAAATGCAACCCTGATGCGGCCTTCAGTGAAATCGAGTTTGACACCCCTGATATAGAGCCAGCAGATTGGAGTGGCTTATAGGGTTTGCAAAGCTGTCTATCAGTCAATACATAAAGGAGATGCTGCTTTTTATTAATTTATTTGATTTTCTACTTTTTCTCCATAAGCTCGAGGGGGCATACACAGTTTTGCTTTCTCCCATTTATCCCACAAAAAGCCGATGAGATGTATTGGATGGAGAGAACAAGTAGCTGAAATTATCCACTGAGCTTCCATGGTTGAAGGCAGACTTGAATCCGGGTCTCCATAATCCTAGTTGAATACCCAGTCTTCACCCCCCCCTCACCCGTCGTTTAAGTAAAATCTTAATCTTTTTATGTATAATTGCCTAGGATTGTAATAGACAGGGAGGAAAGTATGAATAGTGGTGGATAATTTCATCTTTTATTCCTTCCAGGCACAACTGTCCCAGGCTTTGAATGGCATTTCAGACAAAGCAAAGGAGGCAAAAGAATTTTTGGTGCAGCTGAAAAATATTTTACAGCAGATACAGGTAAACGTATGTAGAATTTGAGCTTTTTTTGTACAATATTTTGGATGGCCATAACAAAACTGCACAATAGCAAGTCTACTGGGCAATTTTTTGTGTGATTGCTGTGATGCTGTTTAGGAGGCTAAACCAAGTCAATAAAAGCCATAGCTCAGTACAAACCAACCCAACGCTTGGAATCACAAGTCATAATGGGAAATTTACCTTCAACTCTATTCCTCAACCCATTGGTTTCTCACCATAATCTTCAAATTAATTGCCTGGGAAGGAGAATCTTCATTATTTCTCTTTTATTTGGCAATGTTGCTTCCTCCCTCCTTTCAGGGAACAGGTTCAATTATGCAAGACATTGGCATCAAGGGTACCTATGTCAGCTTGTATATTAGAGAGAAATGAATATGTACGAACGATATTATGACGGGAGAATATATGGACATCTTTGTGCCTAATCGAACATGATTGTAAAACCTGCAGCTTTATGTTGTTTTCCACTCAAAGCCTCCACTGCCTTACTAGTCTGGAATCCATGTACCAAAAATCCACAATATCCTGTATTGGTTCCATTGAAATGAACAGGATTTCTGCATTATCATGGATGTGATTCCAATAGCTGAGTTTCTCAATGTCAACATATCAGGAGAAGGATTTGCAGAGGAAAATGAGGGAGATGAGCAGTTCAGAAATGTGAGGATGGATGGATGGGTGGCAGAGGTGGTATTCAGCAGGTTCTGACCAGTTCTAGAGAACCGGTAGCGGAAATTTTGAGTAGTTTGGAGAACCGGAAAATGCCACCTCTGACTGGAGATTTTACAGTATCCTTCCCCTGCCACACACACCAAGCCATGCCCACAGAACCAGTAGTAAAAAAAATTGAATCCCACCACTGATGGGTGGGTGGGTGGGTGGATGGAAGGAAGGAAGGAAGGAATCCTGATTAATAACATCCAAGAGTTTATACAAACATTGCCTCTAATATAAGAGCTTGGAGGATGTTAAAAATGTCATAGTGCCAAGTTAGGAAAGGATATTTTATTTCCTGTCAGAATCACCCTCTTAGTAGTATACATTTTATAGTGATAGGAAACTGTTTTCAGGGCACTAACTAGTTATTAAAAATAACCTGTATGATTCCAAAGTGTTTTTTCTAAAAAGCAGAAAAATAACTGTTGATTGCACACGAGTTCTGGTGTTCTCAGAATATGACTGTGAAGGTAAATATCCTATAGTACTTCTTTTTTTTCCCGTTTTTCCCGAACGCCACCACTCTGCTAAACAAATAATTCCCTCAACACTGTCCAACTATTTACAAAGTCTGCATTACTATTACTATTAATCTTCTCATTGTTCCTATTACCCATCTCCTCAAAATATATGACTGTACAACTGTAACTTTGTTGCTTGTATCCTTACAATGTATATTGATTGTCTCCTAGTATGATTTGATTGGTTATTGTACCCTATGACAGTCTTTAAGTGTTGTACCTTATGATTCTTGATGAATGTATCTTTTCTTTTTATCTACACCGAGAGCATATGCATCAAAGACAAGTTCCTTGTGTATCCAATCACACTTGGCCAATAAAGAATTCTATTCTATTCTATTTTTTAGGAAAATGGCTTGGACTATGAAGCTTGTCTGGTTGCTCAGTGTGATGCTTTAGTTGATGCTTTGACTCGCCAGAAGGCCAAACTGCTCACAAAAGTTACCAAAGAGCGTGAGCACAAGCTAAAGGTGAATGAAAACTTTATTCATACCTGCCAGACAGAGGAACCTGATTATTTTTAAAATCCGTGCTCTTGAATGCGTAGTTCTAAAGCTTTATCTTAATTATTCAGCATCATTACTGAATTTTATGAGAAAAGAAGGATACAAGAGCATGCAATAAGTCCTTTGTAGTCCTAGGTCCCAATTTGCCGTATCTAATCTATACACATGAAGCCATAAGTCACACACCTCTGGAATTCAAATAACTCAGCCATAAATATAAATAGACTTTGAAGCTTTTTAAAAATTTCCATCTGCAAATTGAACTTGCCATATGTGCCATTTGACCTTCCTAATATCAGAACCTATGTAGAGCCTATAGTTGGGGTTGTTGAAAAAGAAGATATCAATATATTTGTCCAAGCAAATATCATTCCACCAAATTCTTCTCCCTTCTGCTAGTGTTTCCGAAAATATTTCCTCAGTTCAGTGAATGCTGGAGAGATCAACAGGCATTTTTCCTCCCTAGGTTGTATGGGACCAGATAAACCACTGCACTCTGAAACTGCGACAGTCAACAGGACTTATGGAATATTGTCTAGAAGTCATCAAAGAAAATGATCCTTCTGGTTTCTTACAGGTAAATTGTCATTTGTCTTAGGGATAAATGAGCAAACTCTTAGGAAGGATTCTAGTTTGGAACTCATAAATGCTGTCATACCCGCCCCTCATATATTTTTATATGGCTTATTCCATCCAATTCAGTGATGAAGATGGTAACATGGAGAAAGGTGGATTTTTGTAAGCCTCATTTGAAATTGAATAGTTTTAGTGATATATTAGTGTTCGCTATGCATTCCACCTTCAGAAGCTAGCTGAAAATACTTGCTACTTGATTTAAAAGTCTTTAGTCCTAAATCTCCAAAAATGGACTCACCTGCATCGGGGTGTGTGTGTGTGTGTGTGTCATTCCTTGAGTGATTGGGATCACAAATCCTTGCCTTCCAATAGACGAAATGGTTCTTCAATAGCTTTGTCTAGTCTGCAAAAAGTGTTCTTTTTCAGATTTCAGATGCATTAATCAAACGTGTTCAAGTATCTCAGGAGCAGTGGGTCAAAGGAGCCCTGGAACCCAAAGTATCTGCTGAATTCGATCTGACATTGGATAGTGAACCGTTGCTGCAGTCAATCCATCAGCTGGACTTCATTCAGATGAAATGTAGGGGTGAGCTTTTGTAGGCTGATTTTCCTTCCCTTTTGTATGGGATTGCAAAGAATGGCTGTGAAAGGGAGAGTCATTTAGACCAGGGGTCCTCCAACTTTAAGACATGTGGACTTCAACTCCCAGCTGGCTGAGGAATTCTGGGAGTTGAAGTCCACAAGTCTTAAAGTTGCCAAGTTTGGAGACTTCTGATTTAGACCAAGAGCTAGGGCTCAATTCTCCAGACGAAAGTCACTTTTTAAGGGTTGAATAATTTCCATTTCTCTTTCCATGATTCTAAGAAGCAGAAGACAATCTCATCAATGCTGGATATCTTAATTAATGTTTGATACCTTTCTATTTCCAGATAGAAAGCTTCAATTAGGAATGAATATACTTTTTAAAAGTAAAAAAAAAATGCTAACTTACAATTTTCTCAAACTCTAAAGCTTTACTACAAAGGAAAGCTTATCAAATACAGCAGTAAATACAAACTTAATTACATACAAAGACCATCATGTTTACTCATGTTATTAGGCAGCATGATAGGTGTAGAGAAACCAATGATTCTAGGTGTTTTGGTTAACAAATCCCCAAATCTTTTGCCAAGGACCAAGCAGTTTTGAACTGATGGATGTAGACTCTCCAAACTGCTACTTGTGATATAAGAGCCCATTTTCTGAACTGTGATGTTTTTCTATCTTTTGTATTTTAGTTGTACAGGAGTTTTCTGAATAGACAGTTGATAAGTTGGATCAAAGTTAAAATAATGTTAACCACCAGAAGTGGACTGGCAGTTTTGCTGCCCATTTTTACTTTTATGGGTCTGGTTGCAGCTGGGAAACCAGCAGGAAACCAGCACATTTCCTGAATTCCCAGACCTGGCTCTTAAAATGTCAGTAACCTGAAAAAATTTGCTTGATGTTTTCAAAATATGCTTTCTGCTCTGCACGACTATGGACAACTGTGCAATTAAAATATACATCCATTAATTGAATATCCATGCATAGCTTTGCAGAAGGTTCCAAGAATATTAACAAAGGAACAGGTATATAATAAAGAGACAGACTAAAATTGCTTCGGCACTGAGAAATGTAGGTGAATAGGAAAAGTAGGAAATAAAGCATGCTAATAATATATAGTGGTTTCAGCTTAAAACAAAATTAAAAGGACAAAATTGAAGAAAAGCCATTTGCATGTGTGCTCAAGAACAAGCCTTATGATCTAAGAACCATCATTCACTCCTATTCTAACATTACTATGTGACATAGATCATATGGAACAGCAATTCATTTTACAACAGTTAGAAGCCTTGGAAATTAATGTGCTTGCGGTGTAAAAACGATTTACTAAAAATGATGTTAAATGTTCTTACTGTTCTTTTTTTCCTTTCCCCTTTTTAAAAACTTAATAGCTACTGCAGGGAACGTGATACAGGAAAAGGGAAATTCATTACAATGTAGTGCACAGGGAGAAGAATTTTAATATGAGTTCATAGAGAGATTACCTGACACCGCAGGCCCATGGGATGAAATAAGATATTTCAAGTCTTTAGCAGTTCATTGCACCTTTGCCATTTTCAAGAAGCTTTAAAAATGCAACCAAGCAATGGAACTTTTGCAGAAAGAAGCTTTCCCTCACAGCAGTTCCTCCATGGATGTTGCAAATGACCAAACAAAGGCTCTCACCCATAGCAAACATTGAGGAGAGTATAGGAAGCCTCTTCTGAGTACTGCAACTGCTGTACAAAGTTTTGAAATGGCACAGAGTGCCGGCCATATTGCTTCTGCATCCCGACTAAGCAAATTGCATTGGGCTGCATTGCAGAGCAGCTTCTCAAGAAATACAGCTCCCGTTCACAGGCCCATTAAAAACACTGACAGGTAGGCTACTTAAAGAACAAGACTGAACGTAAACAATTGCATAGCTAGCTCAGTGTTTCTCAACCTTGACCATTTTTAGATGTGTGGATGTCATCTCCCAGAATTCCTCAGTGAACTGAAATCCACACCCCTTAAAGTTGTCAAGAAAAAACTGAGCTAGCTGAGTCATCCTATGCCCAGATGACGTTTGCAAGATAGCATGATGGTGACTTTTTTCAATGTTTGATTGCTCGGCTCTTTCCATATTAGTTTAAGGGGAATATGAGGTAGTCATGACTGGATTGCAGGTGTCAGAATTGCCATTTCAGAACTCAGGCTGCAAGTTGTGGGGGGTCTAAGAGGGTCAATTATGATTTTCTTGTGAGGTGAACGTTGTGTGGCTCACTATATGCCCAGCCCGAAAGGTAAGGGCAGAGTTGCACTAATCTGTGCTCAGTTCCTCTTTCAGTACCCCCAGTGCCACTCCTGCAGCTGGAGAAGTGTTGCACTCGGAACAACAGTGTGACACTTGCCTGGCGTATGCCACCCTTTAGTCACAATCCAGTGGAGGGATACATCTTGGAGCTCGATGATGGAGATGGTGGCCAGTTTCGAGTGAGTTTTTGTTCCTCATATGTTTATGTTTAGCTTTCTTAGGTAAATGCTGATGTGTTTGTCCTATGATGGACAGGTTTAGTATTAGAAATGGGAACCCAATGCTTCTTCCTTTTGTAGAAGAATTCTGAACAAGATGAGAAGGGAGAAATGGAGGATCCTACACTAAAGGAGCCCTTTGTAGGTCTTGTCCAATGCAACTGCTATGGTTTTTGTGCATGCTGTTGAAGCCTTTTCATTTCCCCCCCAAATGCCTATACTTTGACAGCCCTTACTGGATCCAGCCAGACACCAATAAATCTCTCTTCTTAGAAAATAATTGCTTTTTTTTTTAAAAAAAAAAAATGAAATCATACTCTTCAAGGTTTTTCTAATTATGCATAACTTCTTCGTATCATTTCTTCTTAACTGGTGTTCATGTTACTGTATCTCACAGTGATAATTGTCTAAAAGCAATTGAAGGTCTTTTAATGGACCTTTGTATCTTTTTTGTTGTTTAGGAAGTATATGTGGGCAAGGAAACCTTGTGTACAATTGATGGTCTTCATTTCAACAGTACCTACAATGCAAGAGTGAAAGCCTTTAATTCATCTGGGGTAGGCCCTTATAGCAAGACGGTTGTTTTACAAACTTCTGATGGTGAGTCTTTGAAAAAATAAATACTTTCCCTTCCTAAAATTTCTTTTATGTTTGGAATCAGCTAAACTTTAAGAAAACTATATTTACAACAAAAGTACCTTTGAGTTTCTAGATCAGGCTTCTGAAATTAAGAGAGAATAATAAATATCTGAATCATTTAACAGCAACTCTCTTCATCATGTTTTTTTCTTGAACACCCTATACAATGAGACTATACTGGATTTTCCAGTTTGTGTTGGTTTCCAAAATATTTCAGGATCAAAAGCAATTCCTTTTCCGATAACCTTGGGGAGAATCCCCCTTTCAGATAGAATCCAGTTCCATCTGAACAAGCTTGGTTCATTTTGGGATAATGTATATATCATAATGCACAAGTGATTTTGGCACTTTCTGTGGCAGAATCTGTCAAGTCTTGAAAACATGTCAGAATATGCTAGGTTTTCTGATGGATTCTGAATAGGTTGATGGATGATGATGATATATAGACAAACAGAAGACAATAGATAGATAGATAGATAGATAGATAGATAGATAGATAGATAGATAGATAGATAGGCAGGCAGGCAGGCAGGCAGGCAGGCAGGCAGGCAGGCAGGCAGGCATTCTATAAGAACTGCAGATGTTTTAAAAGTTAATTAATATGACTGATAATAATGATCTTCATTGAGCTTCAGTGTATCTGCAGTTCCTACCTCCATTTTATTCCAGTGAGGAATTGCAGAATTTAATTACCTTTCAACTCACTGCAAGGAAATTATTTTCCATAGTCTTATAAAATATGCATGTGAATTTAAGCTTAAGTTTCATATAATTAAACTTAAAATTAATATTGATTAATGATACCTAACCTTTATGAATCATAAAACATTTCTCTCTCTTCTTTTCTTTCTTACTTTAACATTGCTAGATTAGATTAGGAGGGGGAAAAAACATTTGTTCTCCAAGATCCTTTCTCTAAGGAAGAAACTACTTCCTTACAGAAGTAATTCTACTTTTTTGAGGAAGAAACTACAGAGAATAGTAGATTTTTGTAACAAACCTACCCACAAATAAAGAAGTATATTTAAAACCAATGTGCCAATTTGATAAAAAAATGATTTACGTCTAGATTCTTAGTAGGAGTAAATTGGTCTGGCAAAAGTTTTGTATGCTTTAGTTAGCGATTCTATATTTCTGGAGGAGAAGTTTCATAAGATTAGATTTACAACTCTTAATGCCTTTTTGGCAATGCTGTTACAGTGAGCTCTGGCGCTTAGGTCATTTGATATGAGAACTCCAAGGTCCTTGACAGAGTGAGGATCATCAACGAGGTCATATCCGCCTAGTTTGTATTTGGTGTACTGATTTTTTTTACCAATGTGTAGGACAGAGCATTTGTTGGTCGAGATTTGTCGTTGCCAGATGTTTGACTATTCAGACACATAATCAAGGTCGCTTTGAAGGATAGTAGCATTGTCAGTGGTGTTGAATAGTTTTACATCATCCACAAAGAGGACGCAGTTGATCACAAAAGTCATTTATATAGAGTATAAAGAGTGTGGGTCCTAGAACACTGCCTTGGGGGATACCGCTGTTAACTGGAGCAGGGTTTGATATCGTGCTCCCTATTTTTACTATTTGTTGTCTGTTTGACAGGAATGCAGTAATCCACTTATGGAGGAATCCGGAAATGCCGTAAGAATTTAGTTTTAACAGTAGTTTGTCATGTACCACTGAATCGAAGGCTTTGCAGAAGTCTATGTAAATTGCGTCTATAGCTTTACCCTGGTCGAGTAGAGTAGTCCATATGTTTTTGCAGTGTAGGAGTTGTAGATTGCAGGACAATTTTTTCCTGAAACCAAATTGTTTTTTGGAGAGTAGGTTGTTTGACTCTAAGTGGAGAGTGATGAATTGGTTAATGATTGATTCCATGACTTTGCACATGACACAACACAGTGAGATTGGTCTGCAGTTTTCAACCAGGCTGGGGCCACCTTTTTTGCATATCTTGGTTTGATGAGAATCACACTAAAATATTAACTGCTGCATCCATAATACATTTTTTCATTAGATATGTAGATATTGCTAAAAAGAGTCAGGCTTCCCTCATAAAATATAGTGGATCTTTTCCAAACATGAAATTCTATAGTCTCTTAGACGTTGACTGTTATAAACTCCGGCCAGGAGACAGAATGGCTAGGAGGATCATGGGATTTGAAGTTCCACAAATTTGGAGGAAACCCCATTGGGAAAATTTGGTTTACTGATACAAATTGAAGTCTTGTAAAAAAATCTACAGAAGAATAATGACAAATAGCACTTTTATTTCTTCAAATTTTAAAGAGAGAGCATGTAGAACTTTGACATCAAGTTTTTAATAAGATCGTGCAGCTGATGATAATCTGTAAATGATATTACTCATTCAAAATTCCTAAATTTTTGAACCACTTGACCATGCATGTTATCCTTTTTTTTCATATTATGGTATTGGCTATCTGGTAATAATCTCAACACTTAAAAAAGTTGATTAAGGCTATAGGGGTTCCTAGATTTCAAAGAACTGTATCGTGAATCATGAATGAATTTCATTTATTAATACAGAGCTACTGCTCATCACGATTCAGTTAGTTATTGCACTGTTCTAATCTGTATACTCCCCCCCTTCTTGTTTTTGTTTTTTTAATAGTGGCTTGGTTTACATTTGATCCCTGTTCAGCCCATAGAGACATAGTCCTTTCAAATGACAACCAGACTGCTACCTGCAGTAGCTATGATGATCGTGTAGTTCTGGGCACTGCAGCTTTCTCAAAGGGAGTCCACTATTGGGAGCTGCATGTGGACCGTTACGATAACCATCCGGATCCGGCCTTTGGGGTTGCTAGAATCAACGTGGTCAAGGACATGATGCTGGGGAAGGATGACAAAGCCTGGGCGATGTATGTTGATAACAATCGCAGTTGGTTCATGCATTGCAACTCCCACACTAATCGGTAAGCATTCAAGATGCTGCTTTCTGCCTTAAAGCAGGTTTCCTTCTTGTTCTTCAAAAGCTGTGCAGTGAATGTCCTGCCACCCCATCATTTCAGAAAATTTATCATGTATCCCAATTCTTGCCAATGTAGCTCATAAATCTGTGCTACCAAACACAACTGTTATGACTTTTGTCAGCATTATACTTATGGATCAAATATGATGTGGCATTTAGCAGATTCTTGGTTTTAACCTGGGTCTTCCCCAGAGTTGGTATTCATCAGGTTCTGACCAGTTCTGGAGTAGTGGAAATTTTGAGTAGTTCAGAGAACCGGTCAATACCACCCTTGACTGGCCCCGCCTCCATCTATTCTCTGCCTCCTGAGTCCCAGCTGATTGGCTGGGTCTTCTTTTTGTTGCCCTGCACAGGAGAACGGAGCTGGAAAGCTGGTTAGTGGGGTGGGGAGGGAATGGGGATTTTGCAGTATCCTTCCCCTGCCATGCCCACCAGGCCACGCCCACAAGCCACGCCACACCCACCAAGCCACACCCACAGAACCGGTAATAAAGTTTTTTGAATCCCACCACTGGTTTTCTCCCCTCACTTATAATGCAAAAGATTGAAGAGGCAAAATAGCAAAAAGGCATTTAAATGGAGTTTGCTAAATCAATCAAAATGTTAGCTTTATAAAATCTCTCTTTCCATACTATTCTTTTTTTAAAAAAATATAATATCCGAAATGAAGTTGGCTGGCCTGCTTCTGAGTCTGTCTGCTATTTTTAATTTCTTCATGTCGAATTATTCATTCATTTCCTTGTTGGCTTCTGCTTTGTTTCCAAGAATTTAAAACAGAATATATACTGCAACCTCCTCCAACTCTTCCCCTCCCCAACAGGTTAGTTAGGTGATCTTAGGAAAACAAATGACAATTGACCTTAGTCACTTGTATGGCTTCTATGTATAGACCTGAATCCAGATGTGGCCATGAATCTGTACTATACTACTGTATGTAATTTTCTCAAATTTATTCAGAATTGTTTTAAAATATAATTCAGTGAAGCAACAGTGAACTGTTCATCATTATATTAGGGAGGGCTTAATGATCATTTAACTAAACGGAAGAAATGAGGAATTAAGAAATAAGCATGACTGTTGATTAAAAATACCCAATGAAAGTGTTTCCTTACCTAATTGGAAAACTTACAGCAACAATGTAAGTTGTAAGATAGTTTCTCCCATGAGCTGCTCAGAGCAACCAGTAGTGGGAGGTGCTTCAGTCTCTGCTTATCTAGGCTGGGTTTAATTTGTGGAATGCTCCTCCTCCTCCGTGGGACTCCTCCCCAGCATTCTCCAGTTTTGGCTCAGCCTTGTGAGAGATAGGCAGTGCTTCTCGTTACTCCTCGGCCGAAACAGGAGAATTCTCTTTAAGGTTTGACAGATAGTCAATTGTTCTTTTCTTACCGACGCTGCCCTTGCCATCTGGCCGTTGGGGATCGCATTACCAGGAAGCGCTCCTAAGTGCAGGCAGGCTTCGCGCGCATTTCGCTCCCCCTAACCGCTAGCCCTACCCTTGCCATTACGATCGTCGAGCCGCTTTATTATTTAAACGGTGAGGCTTTTTTTCTCTCGTTCCTTTCTGAGTCGTATCGCTGTTTCTCCTTTCCCCCAAGAACGCCGTTTAGGGGTGGAGGTGTAATCGCCTCGTTATTTCGCCCCTTCCCGCCGGTTTAGCCCTAAGGGAAGACTGTTGGGACTTATCTCTTTTTCTTGGCGGGAGATTGCTGCTGGCGCGCGCGCCACAAATAACGTCTGGTCGCCATTTTGGGTTTTGTTTTTTACTGTCAAGGGACCGCGTGGCCGCGTTGAGTGCTAATTCAGTAGACTCTGTGAGATAATCCTTATTCCAGATTGCAGGGGTTTTTTCCCACAAAATACCCCGAGGAATCATTACAACCTCGTTTTCAACATATTTGAGGTTTTTGTTAATTCGTGTTGTTGGCTCAACCCTCACAGTTCTCCCTATCCAGCGGCACAACAGCGAGCACCTAGGCCAGCGTCCGCCTGTGCAGG